TGAATGCTTGGCTGATGCTCTTAGTACCAACATTCTTGCTACTTGGAAGGTACAGGTGCCAACATTTTCTTATCAAAAAAAAAAAAAAAAAGTAACTCACTTAGGATTACGTTTCCCTGAAAATGTATTTGCTGTTTCAAATCAGTTGTAAAGAAAGGTATGGATGATGCACAAATTGTACCGTGCAACCCTTGAATGGACCTTAACAGAGAGGAACACATAAGTATACTTTATCGGTCTATATATAATGTCCCATGTACTTCTAAACACGGCTCCAAATATTCAGAGTGTATGCATTTATGATTGCTTACGTACACACACTTGCTTTATACCTCCTCCCTTTGTTGTCTTAATACAATTCCGATGCCTCATCAATTTCAGACTCCTTAATCTACAGGATGTTTTTTCCATTACTCAAGGATCGTCTAGTGCTTCTAACTTGCCCTTATTTTGTATTACAAAATTAGAGCTCTTTGAAAATGACTGCAGGAAAAGGCCTGTGCTCTTTCGCTTCTTTGTTCTGGCTCTTGCAAAAAATCATCTATAATTGTAGTCACTCCACGAAGACTTTTTAGCTTTGACCTTTAGTGCGCAGTAATACAGAAAATGATGGGGTGCAGATTTCCTGCCTGAGCCTCTTCTCCTTCTCACCCACATCTCAATCTTTGCGGGATAGATGCTGACTGTGGGGCTTTGGTGATGCTATTAGTAATATTGCTACCACTACTGTTAAAGTGCTTTTAATACAGTTGAATTACTGCAATTACTGTTTATGATTCAATGTCCTAATTTTAGCTTTAGAAATGGATGCACAATGTACAAAAGTAACAACATCGTATGTCTTCATTATATTTCGGTAATATCACTGAATGCTGATGCTTCTCCCCCACTGAAGAGATCCACCGCTGAGGTATAATTTACATACTAAATAGAGAGGAACACTAATATGAAAATTAGATCACCTCAGAGGGGTGAGTCTTGCAAGAATCTACCCAACTAAACTACACAAGAATGAAACCTTGCACTTTTTTCCTGCCTTCCTGTACTCGACGGCTTTTCCCAACACAAGACTGACTTTCCTTGGACCCAGCAGGGATCTACAGTATAATAACATTTGTAGGAGCCTATGGATTTGCTGTATAGAGAACTTGTTTGGTAGATGTTGGCCGTTAGAGTAGTGCATTGTGAAGCCAGCGTGTCTCTAGATCTAATGGCTTCACAAGGGAAAACAATCGGGATGACTTCACTGTATCATCCAGGGTGGTGGGAAGCTGCAGGAGAGTGCAGCGAGCACTCCACTATTCCCTCAAAGCAACGTGAAGTTTGCTCCTTTCCAATAATCTGGGCCGGGATCTCAAAGTCTCGATAGGAAGCATTGTTGTTCCCCTGGTCTATCCGCGGACCCAACATGTGGTACGCTGCTCATTTCCGTAGCTACCCATGGCTTCTTGTAGACTTTTTCAACCAGCCCATGAATACAGGTTCTGAGACTGCCAGGAACTCTTTCTCACCAATAACAACTTTTAAGGCCTTTGCCTCACAGACAGACTTCAGTTAAAACGTCATATATTAAAATGGTGTACAACGGAGGCTGTTTTATAGAACTCATTAACATACTTAATATTGTCGACAAGAAAAGGAGTCACTTCAAGACACAATCCTATGGTGGAATATAAAAGTATATTCGTACTTAGTTTTACGTTCTTAACTTGAATATTTTCAATACATACTATATTATAGTTATACTCCACTACAAGTTAGTAGGAAATGTTGTACATTTTACTCCTCTAGATTTATTTTAGAGCTTTAGTTATATGTATTTTTACACTTTTCGTACAATATCACCTTAATTTCAACTTAAACATAAATGACAGTGTATTGTTAAATATTAAACTACCAGTATAGAAATTGGTAAAATTAGCTGCAGTAGTGCTATGTACACATTTTTTCTGATTTACTTACTGTTCTTTAACTTTCATGGGATTTGGAAGTCAGTACTTCTTACATGTAACAGAGTATTTTTTATATTCTTCCACTGCTGTTTGCGGTCGTTAACTTAGAAGCTTTGCAGACGGGGTTGTGCGGGTCAGTGCTGCTGCATGTACAGTGGTGGTAGTCAGTTCTATTACACTGTAAAAATGAAAAGTAAAACTTCTGTAAAAAGTCCTGGTTGAATTTTTTTTTGATAGTATTAGTTTAATTTTACTGATGATTTAATGTGAAGGCAGCATTTTTAACCTGGTCTCATTCTGAAGTGGTCATTTACCACCGCTATTAATGCCGGTGAAAAACAGGAACTATTTTGCGGCGGTGTGACACGCCTTTTGGCGACGTCAGTTTGAAATGCCCCCATACAACAACGTAATTTAAGGTCCTGGAAAGTCCGTATACACTGGGTGGAAAGAACGGTGAATGGGTCCAACAACACTGGACTTTCACCCAGGAGGCCATGGTGTTAGCCTCCCATATGAATTTAGAGCCAAACCATGATGTTTTTTTTTAAACCTAACCACGTGTTTTGTTGTATAATGAAATAAACATGAAAACATGGTGTTTCACTGATATGAGTTTATTTTTGAAAAAGGCTGTACGCATCCAACAAGCAGAAACTGTTCATTTCCTGAGAAAACGGAAGGTGTCATATGTGGGGGTGAAAGTCCACTGACCAAGCGGCGATCCATGACGAGTTGGGAGTGAGAACAAGTTGGCATTTTACTGTTGTTTGTTGAGGCAGAGATGATTTTAACTTTTTTACATTGTGTTCTCAGTCGCACGCCAAAAGGGGTGGTAATACATGACCATATTTAAGAGGCTGTGGCACACTCATCTTTTAAGCTGGGGCAAAGGTAGTAGTACCTTGTGAAACTAGACAGCTTAAGACATCCATTGGTACCAACCATGCCGGTGTAGCTTGTCGGAAAAGAAGCTAAATAACGCTCCAAATTTAGGATGAATATTAGCAAGGGAACAACTGGTGTGGCCATTTTCAAAGGGGTCCCTTGACCTCTCATGTCAAGACATCTGAATGAAACTGGGTTCGATGGGTACCAACGAGACTCCCCTTTGAGTAGGTTTGTTCCCAGTAAATGTTGTCTTCCTTAAAATCAGTGTACTCCTTTAAATTCTAGCTGTATATTAGTCTTTCTAAGGAAAATGGCACTGTTTTGTGGTTTTATCTACAACAATTCATCATATATTTTAAGCTCATCATATGTTCTTTATGTAAACTGTTAATTAAGTAACCAGTAAATATTGCTTTATATAAATGCGGTCTCAGAACTGTAGTGAATTAGAAGTTTTAGCAGCATGAAATGGAAATATACTTCCTTCAAGGTTTCTGTGTTCCAGAGATTTTCTCACCCTTGTGTCACCACCTCCTGCCAGTGCTCGAGCTGTAACGTAGGCAACTAATGACTTTTTTCATTAATGACCCTTTCAGATCAAATAATGAGGACTTACTACACACTTACCAAAAATTAGAGCTTTCAATAAAGCACTATTTAAATCACAGAGTCTGAAAGCAGATTTTAAACGTTAATCATTTTATATGCACAACCTGGGGCCTGTCTCGACCTATGAACTGAAGCTTAAAGGGGTGCGGGCTCGTTCCTGCCTGGACATTGGCTGTTATTTTTTTTTTTTTTTAAACCAAGCTGCAGAAAATCCAATTATTAGCAACAACCCAATTACTTTCCCCTCAGACTCTGCGGCTCAAATCCAAGGTTGGATTTGTGGATTAGCGAGGTTTACCGATAGACTCCTGAAAAGGGAAGCAACAATGTCGAATTTCCTGGCCGCCTGCGCTCTTCCGGGATTTGGAGTCAGAGGGTGACATGATCATTGAGAGGTGGGATAATGACAGAGTGAGAGAGGGAGGAAGGAAGGGAAGGGAAGAGAGGGGAAGAGAAGAGCGGTCTCTGGACAGTAGATCACAGTTAGCTGAGGTCAGAAGTGCAAGTACTGCCTGTCAATGGAGACCCAGCCACTAATAAAGTCATATTGACTTTACAGCCATACTTAATGCTGTGAGTTACTTGACACCGAAAGCACCGCAGCATTTGTAAGTCAATTAGAGGGGGTGGATGAAGCGCACGATTCTGCTGTCACTCCAACCTGAGGAGGATAAAGCTGGACACTGACCTCTGACCTCGCCTGTCCTCTGACTTCTAACATCTGCAGGACACTTCTCTGGTTGTAATCGCTCTGACTCGCTCACACTCAGTGGTTATATTGATCACAGCCGACACTGATTCATAATTAAATGGAATATTTAAACAAAGATGAAGACGGTGTCAAATAGTGACTGGGACACCGCCACACTCAAGGTTACGAAACTACCATTAAGTGGCTTTTTTTTTTTTTTTTTTTTTTTTAAATGCTCGTACTTCTACTTCTGTCAAAGTGGGTCAAAAAGTAGCAGGAAATGAATTACTCATTAAATGAAACACTTCAATCTCTCTAATAAGGAGATCCATGAATGATATGTGGCACCTGCTAAATTCGCAAATATCCCCTCTAAAAGCTTTGTAAGCTTCATCAAACTAATCGGAGTGGACAGCCACCAAATAGAATCTATTCTGAATTCTCCATTTGTGACTGTGCAGGGCAGGTGAAGTCTTTTGGCAATAATTGACTGGAAGGTATGCCGTTCTCTATTAATGTGCAAGGATTAAATTTAACACCCACCTTATATCATTCGGCGAGGAATCATATTGCGCTAAAGCCCACAGTAACCTAAGGTATCTCTTTCATTATTGCCTAATTAACCTGCTAATAGCCATGTCCTTACTGCCTCGTCTCTTTAATTATCCGACGGCCTGCGCCGCGCTCATACCAAGTTACCACTGTGTCAGTCAGCTCCCTGTCCCATCACATCTTTTATGAGATCAATTTCTATTGGCTTTATTCTAAAAGACACTGTTTAATTAACAGCTATTTTCATCCTTGAAGAACATACTATTCATGATCAGGATATTACTCTCTACAACTCTTACCTTAGACAATTACAGCTGTGAGGCAGTGCAGATTGCAGGCAGGCAGGAGGCAGTGAGAATGGAGTGAGTTAGTTGGGTGTGTAACCACTAGATGTCCTTTGCAGTAAAGTGACCAAGCCTGACTGACCCTGGCCGCTGCACTGGAGAAAAGCCAAAAAGGCAAGAGTCATACCACTTCATCACACATTAGTCATTCAGAAGAGACGCTGTCATTAATTGTAATAACGACTGAGTGTCAAGTCTCTGATTCACAGCCAGTGCATCACGCAAACATTTCTGTCCACTCAGCGTTCAAGTGTGACTGCATTTTGTTCAACTTTTACCCCTCAGAACTCCACAACAAATACTGGAAACACTCCAACTTAATCTAAATAAAGACTTTATTAACAATTAATGAATCATTACTTATGCCTTGTAGATAAGTTATGAACCCTCTGACCCTTCACTGCCTTTAATTATTAGAGTTACTGCATGTCATAACCAGGCATGCCATACACTGTCATTTTCAGAATTTTAAGAAAGCTACAAAAGCTATTAGCAGTTCCAGTTTGCACTGAAACGATGGACATACTGACAATTATCACTGGATACTAACAAAACGTTCAAATATGATGATCATGAAGTAAGATCTGAAGTATGAAGGAACACCTTTTCTCTGTGATTTCTAAGAGGATTTATGGACATTTATCCACAATGGAGCTCAGGGATTTTATTACTCCCAGAAAGTGTACGGCACTCTGTAATTTAACACTAAGTATCATGTTTGTGTGCTCAGATTTTAGTCAGCTATGATGCAGCAAAGGAGGGCAATCTTTGACTGAATTGGCCTGGTCAGGCACCAACAACTTTTGGGTTGCTAGGTTGTAAAAAAAAAAAAATCAAAAAGGACACTTGCTTATTCAGAGTATCATGGCTTATTACCTCTTATTATGGGACTAGTTTGATATTTTGGGAAATATGCTTATTTGCTTTCTTGATGAGAGCAGGATGAGAAGATTGATACACTCTCACATCTGTCCATTAAATATAAGGCTACACCTAAAAGCCGGTTAGCTTAGTTTAGCTTAGCTTAGCGTTAAGACTGGAAAAAGGTGACATAACTTCCCGAACAGCAGCTCTAAAGACTTATCTATTCAGAGGTTATAATCCTGTTAGTTTATTCTGTGCAAAAAAGTAAAAATAATAATCAAAATTGCTCCCAGACATAAAATAATCTGGCCTGGTAAAAAACACAAAATGTTGGTTTTTCACTTCCATTTCATACGGATTAAACAAACAAGCTATAACATCTAAAATAGTGAGCTTTAAAGTTGCTGATAGCCACATTTTGTTATGTTTGGAAAGAGCCAGGCTGGATAGTTCTCCCTATTTTCAGTCTTTGTGTTAAGCTAAGGTAAGCTAAGATAAGCTAAGCTAACCAGATGCCAGCTGTAGCCTTACATTAAACATACAGATATGAGCGTGGTATTGATGCTTTTATCTAACTCAAGAATGCACATCAAACACTGACTTTATAGCTGTATAGAAAGTGAATTGTAGAGATGACAATTGATAAAAGTCTATGCTCTTAGCTAGGAAATAATCTGTTGCATAGCGCCTGTAATACCTGTAAAGTTTTTAATAATTTGTAACATTTACAAAAAGAGATGTGTAAATAAGTGAACTTCATAGGTGCTGGTAGGCACATTTTGTTACCTTCTGAAGGAGTCAAGCTAACTTTTAGCTTTTATGCTAAGCTAAGCTAAGCTATGATAACCAGATGCCGGCTGTAGCGTTACAGTAGACAGACACACATGAGAGTGGTATTGATGTTCTCATCTAACTCTTGGCAGTATTTCCTCACAAAAAACATTGACTTTGACAAGTTATTTTGTTTTTTTTAAAGCTGTACAGCTAGATTTTCCCTCAGTTTCCAGTCTCCATGCTAAGCTAAGCTAACTGGCTGCTAGTTGTAGCCTTATTTTGAACATACAGGTATGAGAGTGGTAGTGATCTTCGCATCCAGCTTTGAGGAGGGAAGGAAATCAGTGTATTCACCAAAATATTAAACCACCCTTAACATTGATAACTGCACACTAGGGATGAAACAGTATGAAAATTTCATATCACAGTTATCACAGTTATTAGTATTATCAGTATTATCACGGTATTGTTAGACTGTGCTGAAAATGTAAAGACAAAACAAACAAAAAAAGTATACATGAAATTATTTCACCAATTTTTGTATTGAAAACCAAAAACAAAACTAGCAGCACTTTTTCATTGAATACCGCTAAAAATTAAAATAATGACATAACTGATACCTTATGTAAACAAATGAAAACCATATTAATTAACATTAAAGACAGTCTGTCTTTAAAATGCTTGCTTGAGTGTCTGTGTTACTGTCGATGAGGACGAGGGTCCAGCAGCATCACGGGTTTGTCCGCTGCACGCCCACCCTGTAAACAAGGGAACAGCAAAACAAACCCAACGTTGCATGCTGCACCTGCATCTGGGAAACTGTTGCCAAATTTGGTCGATGCTGGACAGTATTTACTGAACATTTTTCAAAGCGCAGTATTCAAACACAATTTTCATGATAATTCAAATTTGAAATGGTAATACTAACCGTCGGGAATATTGCTGGGGTTAATCATAAAACCGGTGACCGTTTCATCCTCACAAGCAAAAGCTGGTCTTGTTAATGGCTTATAACGGATCTATAAAGCTCCCTAAATACTTTATCAACCATTATGAAGCCATCATTTATATATATTTATAAAGACAGATATTTTATTCAAAAGTTCCTCCATTAATCACTCAGATATTTCCACATAAACAAGAGCCCTACAAATACGCCGAGCTGTGATTCAGTAAAGCAAAGATCATGTCACTGTATAAAACCAGGGTGGGAGGCAACAGTGCAAGTAAAAATGCTACTATCTGCTGTCATCTCCCTCTAGACATACAACCAGTGGAGCATTTAAGTCGCTAGACGCACAGCCAAGACACAGACAAGTGAATTTATGTGTTAAGTTGGTGTCCCCCTCCCTCTACCTCACTGTCTCAAAGGCCCAGCACAGATAGCAAGTTCCATTAGGAATTTCAAGTCGAATTAAGGTGCTTGGGGAGGACACATTAACACATGTGCCGCTTCTGTAGTTAAATGTCAGAATGGGAATGAGGCCTGTGACTTTATATTCCATTAGCCACTGCCTCATGTTTCCCTGCTGTGTATCTAAATAAATAATCAAGACAGCCTCCAAAACACGAATCATCTTTTCACAATAATAGAAAATTAATGGCTCTGCTTGGGTAAGTAAATTATACCAGGAACATCCCACAGCCTAAATCACTGCTGAGAGACGATGACAAAGGATGCATTATAGGCCACAGGAAAAAGGAACCCACTCGTCCATAAAATCCTGAAATCTGAATAAAATGTTGGGGCTTTCAAGCTCTTTACAATCACCTTGCATGAAAGTCTAATTCAGTTTGGCTTCTTATTAATTCATAAGCCATTAGTAACATATTTCTCTAACAAAAAGCCCCTGACAAAGGAAAAACACAGTGTGTTTGGGAGAGGTATGTGCAATTAACATTTAAGCATGGACGATTAAAAACAAGTCTCAAAGAAGTGGCGAGTGGGCTCTTGAAAGATGCAAACGGATGAACTATTTTATGGGGCATTAGCCAGATATATTTAAATACAGCTGAAGTGTATTCCTGCCATAAAGTAAGTATAACACCTGTCATACTAAATCATGCACACACTGGGCTACTATTAAGATGAAGAAAGCAAGGCCAGGATAAAGCCTAAACCATGTTAGTGCACTCTGTACACCACTGCTGTATACACGGCAGCACTGTGTAACAGTGAGCCATAAATATAGTGCCAAAGCAATGTCGGCTATTCAAAAAATACTTAAAATGATTGTTTAGTTGATGAAAAAAAAATTATTAATTTTCAATAAATGACTGATTGTTTAAGTCCTTTTTAAAGCCATGCTAGCCAACACATTCTCACTCCGACCTCGTCACATGTCGACATTTGGTCATGGACTTTCCACGTCAAGAAACGACGTGCAAGGGATCCTAGGTGCGTTGGTTGTTGACTTTCTCAGACACTGTGTCAACTTCAACCTGTTACATGCATCGTCTGTTTTCAAAATACACCTCCCTTTTCACAGGAAATGTTCAGTTTGCATACAGTCTCTTTCAAAATAAAAGCACTACATCGGTACAAAACCACAAAATGATGCTTTTTTTCCCCGTCAACAACAAACGCACGTGGTTAGGTTCAGGAAAAAAGAACAGGGTTTGGCTTTACAGTCATACTGGAAGTGAACACCAGCCGCCCACATGAAAGTTCGTGGTTGTTGGACCCATCCACCACCCCTCCTGCCTGACTTAGGGGGCGATCACACAGAAATGAGACGCTAGAGACGAGGACGCTTCAAAGACGCTTGAAATGCTGGAAGAGCTTATTTAATGCGCGCTAGCTACTGGTGTCTGACACTCAAAAAGTTGAAAATATTTTAACTTTTCAGCATCTACGTGCGTCTAAAAAGACGCCGGAAAAACGCCCATCTAAAAAGACGCTTGAACGCCGGTCAGATGCGCCGTATCATAGGAAAACAATGGTTTTACTGGCGTCGCATTTCTGGCGTTTCATCCCGGTGTGATCACTCCCTTACTCAGACTTCTACCACCTTAACTTTTACTGTTGTTCCTCTGCATTTCCCCCTGACACTGACAGGTGACATTAAACAACAATGGCGACCGGCCGCATTTCATGCCGACGTGAAAGAATGGCTTTTTTCATGAGTGTCCAATGCCGGAAGTCACCGACCAAGTGTTGGTTTTCAACAACTTAGTTCGGAGTGAGACTAGGGAGTACAAGTGACAATGCTAACATGGTTATGTTTAGGACGTTTAGTGTTACTCACCATCTCAAGCTTTGTTAAATTAAGCATCATGGTACAGGCCTCCATAGATTGCGTGGTATCAAGATATTCCATTATGAACCAGTAAACCTCATAGTGTCTTTAGATGTTAGGAGGTGACCAGTCATTAGTATTAATCTTCTTGGGACCATGAATGTCTGCACAATATTTCACAGCAATCCATCCAACAGTTGTTGAGATATTTCAGTCTT